CACACACACACACACACACACACACACACACACACACACACACACACACACAGTTTGCTGCAGCAGCTCTCTGATCCTAATGTTGACTTAATTCAACGAAACACTTTTATTTATCTGAACTCTTTTATGTCTACTTATCTTTTTCCATTTATTACTTCACTTCCTGGCTCATAAAAATACTACCACCCCCTGGATTTGTCTGAGCAATAAATAAATAAATAAATAAATAAATAAATAAATAAATAAATAAATACTGGAAAGTTATTTTGCTGCAGCAAAGTTTGCAACTGAAATAACAAGGAGTTTTTAATGCTTTCAGGTTGAGACCAGCCTTTACAACCAGAACTGGGTCAGTTTTTGTATCTTCCTGTGTGCAGTTTGTTTTTTGTGTTAATTTGTTCAATTTTTGTGTATTAATTGTACAATTAGTCATTTTTTCTCAGTCTGTCAGTTCCACCCACTCTCACCAGTTATTCTCGTGTTTGAACTCAACCGAAACATCAGACTGAATTCTAAAAACAAACAAATAAACAAAAGTTACATATTTACAGTCTGACAATCAGAGATGCTCTCCTTGTGTTGTGAAGCTCGTTTTCCCCACTCTGTCCTTTGTTCCTGAATGCCTCCCGGGTTTGATTGGCAAATGGAGGTGTCAGGTTGCAGCGGTGGGCGGGGCCTTCAGTCATCGGACATGTCCGCTCCGCGCTGGGATCAACAGGTTTGAAGGTACCGAAGTTTCTCACCTCAGCATTAAAAGGCAATCTCGTTTGGGTCCGGTACCAGAGCCGCCGCGGTACCGGACAGAGCGGAGTGCACGCGGCCGTTGCGGGGCGCGAGCAGCGGGCCGCGTGCCGCTCTGTCAGATCGCTTTTAGCCTGTTAGCTTAGCTTTTTTAGCTGCCAGCTGTTTTTAACCCCTGCTGTTACGTCACGTACTTGGTGTAGAAAGGCAGTGACGTCAGAGACAGACCTCCACGAGCGCTCATAACTTAGTTTCTGTTATTATTGAACTGTTTTTAAAGTTACAGCGAGCTTTTAGTCTGATTTAAACTCGCAGCAGTTTTAGCTAAATGAGTGAATGTTTGCTGAGAGTTTAAACGACCTGCTGTTTGTTGTTGCAGTTTTATAACATAATGAACTGAAAACAGTAAATATTCAGTATTTAAAATAAATCTTAAAGGTAAAAATGTTTAATGTTTCAGTCAGGTAAACAGCAGAGGCGCTGCTGCCACAGGACAAGAAGGTCCAGCTTTTACCTGATCTGAGAAGTGAAGGCAGCCATCTTTGTCAGGGAAAAATATACTGAAGCAGAGGAGTTAAACATTTAGCTAGCTACCTAAATAAATAACTTAAATATTTAGCTAGCTACCTAAATATTTATGTTGCAACTTAAATATTTAGCTACCTACCTAAATATTTAACTTAAATATTTAGCTAGCTACCTAAATATTTAACTTAAATATTTAGCTAGCTACCTTAGTTGCAACTTAAATATTTACCTAGGTTCCTAAATGTTTAACTTAAATATTTAGCTAGCTACCTAGATATTTAGGTTGCAACTTAAATATTTAGCTATCTACCTAAATATTTAACTTAAATATTTAGCTATCTACCTAAATATTTAACTTAAATATTTAGCTAT